AATAATGCTGCAATGAACATAGGGGTACACATAGCTTTGTGAATACATGATTTCAAGTTTTTCAGGTCTAGCCCCAGGAGAGGGATTGCTGGGTCATATGGTAGCTCTATTCTTAATTGTTTGAGGAATCACCAAACTGCTTTCCATAGTGGTTGCACCAGTCTACCTTCCCACCAGCAGTGGATGAGGGTTCCCTTTTTTCCACAGCCTCTCCAACACCTGTCATTGCTTGTCTTGTTGGTAATGGCCACTTTAACAGGTGGGAGGTGGTAGCTCACTGTAGTTTTGAACATCTTTCATATATCTATTGGCTGTTTGTATGTTTTCTTGGGAGAGGTCTATTTTCAGGTCTTCTGCCCGCTTTTTGATTGAGTTTATTTGGTGTTGAGTTTAATGAGTCCTTTATATATTTTGGAAACTAAACCTTTGTTGGAGCTACTGTTTACAAATATCATCTCCCATCTTGTTGGCTGCCTCTTTGTTTTGTTGCCTGTTTTTCTTGCTGTGCAGAAGCTTTTCAGTTTGATATAATCCCATTCCTTTATTTTTATTTTTTAATATATTTTATTGATTTTTTACAGAGAGGAAGGGAGAGAGATAGAGAGTTAGAAACATCGATGACAGAGAAACATTGATCAGCTGCCTCCGGCACATCTCCCACTGGGGATGTGCCCGCAACCAAGGCACACGCCCCTGACCGGAATCGAACCCAGGACCCCTCAATCCGCAGGCTGACGCTCTATCCACTGACCAAGCCGGTTTCGGCCCATTCATTTATTTTTGCCTTTACTTCCCTTGGAGTCAAGTTCATAAAATGTTCTCTACGACCAAGATTCATAAGTTTGGTATCTATATTTTCTTTTATGTAACATTGTTTCAGATATTATATTTAGGTCTTTGGTCCATTTTGAATTAATTTTTGACCATGGGGATAAACTGTAATCCAGTTTCATTCATTTGCTTGTGACTTTCCAGTTTTTCTAGCACCATTGTGTTTCTGGCTCCTTTGTTGAAAATTATGTCCATATACATGTGGTTTTAAAAAAATACATATTTTTTAAAATATATTTTATTGATTTTTCACAGAGAGGAAGAGAGAGGGATAGAGAGTTAGAAACATTGATGAGAGAGAAACATCGATCAGCTGCCTCTTGCACACGTCCTACTGGGGATGTGCCTGCAACCAAGGTACATGCCCTTGGCCGGAATTGAACCTGGGACCTTTCAGTCCACAGGCCGATGCTCTATCCACTGAGCCAAACTGGTCATGGCAAAAATACATATTTTTTATTGATTTCAGAGAGGAAGGGAGAGGGAGACAGAAACACCAATGATGAGAGAGAATCATTGATCGGCTGCCTGCATGCCCCCCACTGGGGATCACACCCACAACCCAGGCATGGGCCCTGATGGGGAATCAAACTGTTACCTCTGGGTTCTTAGGTTGATGCTCAACCATTGAGCCATGCCAGTAGGGCATACACGTGGTTTTATAGCTTGGCTCTCTATCCTGTTCCATTGATCTGTGTGTCTTCTAGCACCATTGTGTTTCTGGCTCCTTTGTTGAAAATTATGTCCATATACATGTGGTTTTAAAAAAATACATATTTTTTAAAATATATTTTATTGATTTTTGTGTAGTATAATTTGAAGACAGGTAGCGTGATATCTCTAGCTTTGTTCTTTTTTCTCAGGATTGCTTTGGCTATTCTGGGTCCTTCGTTGTTCCATACACATCTGATGCTTTCTCATTCTATTTCTTTAAAAAATGACATTGGGCCGAAACCAGTTTGGCTCAGTGGATAGAGCATCGGCTTGTGGACTGAAAGGTCCCAGGTTCAATTCCGGCCAAGGGCATGTACCTGGGTTGCGGGCGCATCCCCGGTGGGAGATGTGCAGGAGGCAGCTGATCAATGCTTCTCTCTCATCGATGTTTCTGACTTTCTATATCTCTCACTTCCTCTCTGTAAAAAAATCAATAAAATATATTTAAAAAAATGACACTGGGATTTTGATGGGGATTGCATTAAATCTGTGTATTGCTTTGGGTAATATAGCCATTTTAACTATGTTGATTCTTCCAATCCATGAGCATGGAATATTTTTCCATTTTGTTATGTCTTTTTCGATCTCTTTTAATAAAGCTTTGTAATTTTCAGTATATAGGTCTTTCATCTTCTTTGTTAAGTTTTTTTTTCCTGGGTATTTTATTCTTTTGGTTGCAATTGCAAAATAAATTGTTTTGGGGGGGTTATTTTTTGTGTTTTTTTTCCTAAATATATATTTATTGATTTCAGAGAGGAAGGGAGAAGGCTAGAGAGATAAAAACATCAATGGTGAGAGAGAACCATTGATTGGCTGCCCCCTGCATGAGCCTGCAACCCAGGCATGTGCCTTTGACCAGAATCGAACCCAGGACCCTTCAGTCCGCAGGCTAACGCTCTATCCACTGAGCCAAACCGGCTAGGGCAGGAATTGTTTTCTTTTTCTTCATTTCTTTTTCTGAAATTTTGTTGTTAGTATATAGGAAGGCGATGGATTTTTGCATATTGATTCTGTATCCTGCAACTTGACTGTATTTGTTTATTGTTTCTAATAGTTTTTTTTGGTGGAGATTATTTTTTATCATTGTGGTAAAATATACATAAGATATACCATTTTTGAAGTGTACGGTTCAGTGGCATTAAGCACATGAACCACGACCACCATCTACCTCCAGGACTTCTTCATCTTCCCAAATTGAAACTCTGTTCCCATTAGACACTGAACCCTGCATTCCCCTCACCCAGCCCCTGGCACCCACTAATCTCCTTTCTGTCTCTATGGAGTTGCTTCTTCTGGACATTTTATGTAAATAGACTCAGGGAATATACGGCCTTTGTGTCTGGCTTCTTTCACTCAATAGAATGTCTTCAAGGTTCACTCACCTTGTAGCAGGGATCAGCCAGGACTTCATTCATTTTCGTGCCTGAATAACATTCTATTTAGCGTGAATGCGCCACACTTGCTGATCCATTCATCAGCTGTTGGGCACTGGGGTTGCTGCTGCCTTTGGGCTGTTATGAGTGTGCAGCCATGAGCATCCATGCGCAAGTCTGGGCATGCTCCTTTCTCTTGGGGCGGCGCCCTTGCTATTGTTCGGATGCAGATGTACAAAGCGTCAAGGCCTGCTGGTCCTGTACATGAGGCAGGGGAATGTGCTCAGTTCCCTCGTGCCCCGCAGACCTCAGTGCCCGCCCCTGCCCCCACTCCCACGTCTGAGCTCTCTGTCTTCAGGCTCGGCCTCAGTTCCCCGACGCTGCCCTTTGCAGGTGGCTGAGATCCAGGTGGAGGTGGAGCTGCGGGACGAGATTCTGCCCAGAGCCCAGAATATCCAGAGCCGCCTGGACCGACAAACCATAGAGACAGAGGAGGTATGAGTGGCCCGGCCTGGCATGGGGGATAGGGACTTGGAGACACAGAACCAGATGGCCATAACCTCCCTTCCTCTTCTGGATTCTTTTTAAAAAAACGTTTGTTTTTAAAATATATTTTATTGATTTTTTTTTTTACAGAGAGGAAGGGAGAGAGATAGAGAGTTAGAAACATCGATGAGAGAGAAACATCGATCAGCCGCCTCCTGCACATCTCCTACTGGGGATGTGCCCGCACCCAAGGTTCATGCCCTTGACCGGAATCAAACCCGGGATTCTTCAGTCCGCAGGCTGACGCTCCATCCACTGAGCCACACCGGTTTCGGCTAAAAAAAATATGTTTTATAGCCCTAGTTGGTTTGGCTCAGTGGATAGAGCATCGGCCTGTGGACCAAAGTGTCTCAGGTTTGAGTCCAGTCAAGGGCATGTACCTTGGTTGCAGGCTTCTCCCCGGCCTGGGTCATAGCTCGTGCAGGAGGCAACCAATCGATATTTTCCTCTCACATCGATGTTTCTCTCTGCCTTTCCCTTTCTCTTCCACTCTTTCTAAAAATCAGTGGAAAAATATCCTCGGGTGAGGATTAAAAAATACATACATATATATTTTTTAAATTGATTTCAGAGAGAAGAAGGGAGAGGGAGAGAGGGTTAGAAACATCAATGATGAGTGAGAATCATTGATTGGCTGCCTCCTGCACGCCCCACACTAGGGATCGAGCCCACAACCCAGGCATGTGCCCTGACCAGGAATTGAACCATGACCTCCTGGTTCATAGGTCGACGCTCAACCACTGAGCCACACTGGCCGGGCCAGAGTTGGATTCTTGTCCCTTGCCTGTCCCCCATTTCTTCCTGCCCTGTCTCCTCCCCAGGTGAACAAGACGCTGAAGGCCACACTGCAGGCCCTTCTAGAAGTGGTGGCATTGGAAGATGGGGACATGCTAGACTCCTTCCAGGCCTGTCCCTCCACTGAGTCCCTCAAGTCCACCAGCTCGGACCCAGGCGCTCGGCAGGCGGGCCGGAGGCGGGGCCAGCAGCAGGAAACTGAGACCTTCTACATCACGGTGGGAAGAGCCGGGCTGGGGGGCAGGGGTGGGGTCCAGGGAGGGCCCAGAGCTGGGACTAAAACTACAGGTTCTTTTGGGGGCGTCCCAGAAACTCCAGGAGTACCTGAGTGGGCGGAGCATCCTTGCCAAGCTGCAGGCCAAGCACGAGAAACTGCAAGAGGCCATTCAGCGAGGTGGGCCCCACTCCTGGCCCCCTTAGTCTCTTTCACGCCACCCCCAGGGCCAGGAGCAGCACCTGCCCTTGGCTCTCCTGCCTTGGAACCCCACCCACCCATGCTCCTCTCTGCCCAGAGAGGTTGCTTGACGTGAAGGAAATAATCCAGCCAGGTTCCTGACCTCTATTGCACCCTTGGCCCTGCTACTGTCCTTGGCCTTCAGGCCACACCTTCCTCTCTGCAGTGCCTTGAGGACCTCCTGGCCCGAGAGAGACACCAATACTTTCTGTTCCCCAGGTAACAAGGAGGAGCAGGAGGCGCCTTGGTGAGTCCTTCATGAGGGGCTGGTTGGTTTCAAGGAGCTGGGGTTCTGCAGGGGTCAAGCTGTGATGGCCCCACCTCCCTTGTCCTTGGGGCACAGCTCTGCTGCTCATTCCTCTGTGGCCTCAATTTCCCACTTTGCCCAGTGGGTTCTGGAATAACTCCCACGCTCCAGGGCCGTGCTTGGTTGGGCTGGGGGGTGGGGCATCCTATTCTCCATGCCCGAAACCCTCAGAGCCAGCTCCCATTCATCACAGCACCCAGTACACACAGAGAAAATTCCAGAAGAGCCGCCACCCCCGCCCCAGCTCCCAGTATCATCATAAACTCTTCGGGGGAGACATGGAGAAGTTTATCCAGGTACTTGCTTTGCCTCACGCTCCAACTAAATGCAGGCCCTTGCCCAGCCAGTGTTGCTCAGTGGTTGAGTGTTGACCTATGAACCAGGAGATCACGGTTCGATTCCCAGTCAGGGCACATGCCCGGGTTGTGGGCTCAATCCCTAGTATGGGGTGTGCAGGAGGCAGCCGATCAGTGATTCTCCCTCATTATTGATGTTTCTGCCTCTCTCTCCCTTCCTCTTTGAAATCAATAAAAATATGTGTAAAAATAAATAAATGCAGGCCTGCATTCTGGTCTCTCTCTGGCCCTGGGCCACTTCTGTGGCCTGGCTGCCTATGACCCCAGTGTCCTTTGTTGCCACACCCTTGTCAGCCCACCTTCCTGGGTGGGCCTTTACGGGGCCTCCCCTGGTGGAGGGGACCGTCCCTTAGCCAGTAACACGCATCCACAGAAAGCCTCCGGCAGCGGCTATTATTTTTCATGCTGTGATTATGTATGTAAACATTCCAAATAGAGTCGCCAGACTATTTAAACGAACAAATTCAAGTTTTTCAGTGCTACTTGATTAGAGGTCAACATACAGAATTGGATTACATTTTCACGCGCCAGCAATAGTTAGCAAGGAAAATGTAAGGCTCTCCCCAAAATGGCACCAGGGGCATCAGACATCTGGGAGCCAATCTTGCATGCAGCTTGCCAGGCCTCGTGGCCAGCAACCATAATACGTTGTTAAGAGAAGACAAGTTGGCCCTAGCCAATTTGGCTCAGTGGATAGAGCATTGGCCTGTGGACCAAAGGGTCCCAGGTTTGATTTCAGTCAAGGGCACATACCTTGGTTGCAGGCTCCTCCCTGGCCCGGGCTCTGGTTGGGGCACGTGCAGGAGGCAACCAATTGATGTGTTTCTCTCACATCGATGTTTCTCTCTGTCTTGCCTTCTCTCTCCCACTCTCCCTAAAAATCAATGACCCCACCCGCCGCACACAGAGCACAGACTAGTCAAAGATAGATACTAAAGTAATAGGTTATTTAAGTTATGCATTCTAAATTGGGTATTTGTAAATAGCGCCAGGTAGGCCTTCTACCAATAGTACTCCAAGAGTTACGGCAGCAAAGGGATTTAGAAAGAACATTTTTTTTGCACAGTTAATTTACCATGTCAAATTGTTGTAAATGGTAATGTATACAGATTTTCTGTTCCAACATTCCATTGTAAACTTCTTGTTAAGACTGTTAAGTTTTTATTGCTTTCGTATGGAATGCGATTGCAAAACTAAAAAGAACCTTTAACTGGGAAAAAAATCAATGGAAAAATATCCTTGGGTGAGGATTAACAACAAAACAACAACAAGAAAAAATGAGAGGACAAGGTGGGATGTGCCGGGTCCAGAGAGATGTGAACACCCTCTCTGTCCCCAGAGCTCAGGCCAGCCCGTGCCCCTGGTGGTGGAGAGCTGTGTCCGCTTCATTAACCTCAACGGTAAGCCTGGCACCTGGCACCCATCTGGGGGGTGGGGGAGGCCTCGGTGCCCACCAGCCCTTTGTTCTCCCACAGGCCTGCAGCACGAGGGCATCTTCCGGGTGTCGGGGGCCCAGCTGCGCATCTCAGAGATCCGTGATGCTTTTGAGAGAGGTGGGGACAGGAAGCGTGGGGTGGGGTGGGGTGGGAGGCTGGCCAGACCGGCTGTGCTCAGCCTCCTGCACCCTGTGTTGTCCTCAGGGGAGGACCCCCTGGTGGAAGGCTGCTCAGCCTGCGACCTGGACTCGGTGGCAGGGGTCCTGAAGCTCTATGGCTTCTGCAGGTGAGGCCAGGGCCCGAGGCCGGGGTGGGCAGGGCCGGTCCCCAGTGGCCCGTGGCCGCACTCACGGGCTTCTCTCCTCTCGGGGTGGTGGCCTCGATCACAGAGCTGGAGGCCATGGAGGAGCGGGTGGAGCTGGTGAGCCGCCTTCTGACACAGCTGCCAGGCCCAGTGCTGGTGGTGCTGCGCTACCTCTTCACCTTCCTCAGCCAGTGAGTGCTTCTCGGAGGGCCAGGGGGGCTACCCAGGGGGTGCAGGGGACACGGGGCAGGGAGTTCCCTGCTTGTGACCCGCGTGTGCCCCCAGCCTGGCCCAGTATAGCGATGAGAACATGATGGACCCTTACAACCTGGCCGTGTGCTTTGGGCCGACGCTGCTGCCCGTGCCCCCTGGGCAGGACCCCGTGGCCTTGCAGGGCCAGGTGAACCAGCTGGTGCAGACACTCATTGTGCAGCCCACACGGGTTTTCCCACCCCTCACCCTGCTGCCGGGCCCTGTCTATGAGAAGTGCATGGCACCGCCTTCTGCCAGCTGCCTGGGGTACGCTCTTTGTGTTGCTGGGGGATGGGGTTCGGGGGGCGGTCCAGTGGAACCCCCTAAATGCTCATCGTCCTTGCTCTACTCTGGGCCTCAGGGACACCCAGGTGGAGGGACTGGCAGGCGAGAACGAGCCGGAGCTGGAAGCTGGGACCCCAGCCCAGGAGGATGGTGAGGGTATCTGGAAGGAGGACCCCACGCTGGCCCTGCCCTGAGTGCCCACTCTACCCCCCAACTCAGACCCCTTCTTCTCCCCAGTCCTGGAGGGCGTCGTGGAGGCGGTGGCCTGCTTCTCCTACACGGGCCGCACGGCCAAGGAGCTGACCTTCCAGCGTGGGGACGTGCTGCGGCTGCACGAGCGGGCCTCGGACGACTGGTGGCGGGGCGAGTATGCTGGCACGTGCGGGCTCATTCCGCACAAGTACATCACGCTGCCTGAGGGGTAAGTGAGTGCCCATGCTGTCCGGAGACTGTCCACAGCTGCCCTTCCCCCAGGTACTGGCCCTTTCCTACCCCAAGTCTCAGAGTCTGGAGGCTTTTTTATTTTTTTTTTAACTTTTTAAAAATATGTTTTATTGATTTTTTACAGAGAGGAAGGGAGAGAGATAGAGAGTTAGAAACATCGATGAGAGAGAAACATCAATCAGCTGCCTCCTGCACACCCCCCACTGGGGATGTGCCCACAACCAAGGTACATGCCCTTGACCAGAATCGAACCTGGGACCTTTCAGTCCGCAGGCTGACGCTCTATCCACTGAGCCAAACCGGTTAGGGCTAGAGGCTTTTTAAAAAAAAAAAATTTTTTTTAAATTGATTTCAGAGAGGAAGGAAGAGGAAGAGGGAGATGGAAAAATCAATACATGCATTGGCTGCCTCCTGCAGGCCCCCTACTGGGGATCAAGGCGGAAGGAAGAGGGAGAGAGAGATAGAAACATCAATAATGAGAGAGAATTATTGCTCGGCTGCCTCCTGCATGCCCCACACTGGGGATCAAGCCCACAACCTGGGCATGTGCCCTGACTGGAAATCGAACCGTGACCTCATGGTTCATAGGTCAGTACTCAACCACTGAGCCATGCCGGCTGGGCAGCCTGTCGGCTTTCTTTGTGCCCTTCTGAGCACTTCTTGCTGCCACTGAGGTCACAAAACCTGCTGGCCCCCAGCACCCTAAACAGGCCATCTTTCTGACCCCAGAGCAGAGAAGCACGCTGTGGGCCCGGAGCTGCAGGCTGGGGAGCTGCTGAGCAGTGCGGAGGGCCTCCCGGCTGTGGAGATCACCCAGCGGTGAGCAAGGGGAGTTTGGCCCCTCGGGAAGACCCTTCTGGTGGCCTCACTGCCCGCCCCCACCTGAGCACTGCTTTGGGGCCAAGCCTGTCCCAGGCAGCAGGCAATGGGCCGGCTGGAGGGGGATGGGGTCAGGTTTTGGGCACCTGGAGAGAAGCCCAGTTGGGGGAGAGTTGTCTGGGTGAGGGATGCCACAGGAGGACAGAATGGACCCGCTGGGCCAGCCTCACTGTCTTTCTCTTGGCCACACCCTGGGATGGGAGGAGTCACTGGCAGGTTGTGCAGACTTCCCAGGGCCCCCCCAGCTCACTGTCTGTGCCCTGCAGGCCAGAACTATGTACCCCATCCGGGGGCTCTTTTGGGCACAGACGACACTGCTTGGTCCCAACCTCCCCAGATCGACATGTGGAGATGGATAAGGTGAGTGGGGGACGGCTGAGCGGCAGGTGAGGGATATCTCTCTGGGGGGGAGGGTGCCTTGCTTCCCCTTATGAACCAAAGTCTTCCCTCCTGAGGGTTGAGTCTGTCCTTCCTGACCTCAGACAGGCTGGCTGAGCCCATCCCAGAGAGGGGCAGGCCAGCGAGGGGAAGAATGGGCCCAGGGGCAAGGACAGGGGACACAGAGGCTCATGCATTTGGGCTTCATGGTTCTTTTTAAAAAATATATTTTTATTGATTTCAGAGAGGAAAGGAGAGGGAGAGAGAGAAACATTAATGAAGAGAGAGAATCATCGATCAGCTCCCTCCTGCATGCCCCCCACTGGGGATCGAGCCTGCAACCCAGGCATGTTCAATGGGAATTGAACCGTGACCTCCTGGTTCATAGGCCGATGCTCAACCACTGAGCCACGCCGGCCGGGCCACCCTCTCCATATTTCTCATATGGTTGGTTCTTCAGTGGGAAGTGGCGAGTGTTTTGGGCGAGGGGCTACCGGGCAGGCTTCAAGGCTGGAATCTAGAGCCAGGCTGGGTGGCAGGTGGTGACATGGCAGGAGCTTGGTGGGCCAGGGAGGACGAAAGGGACAGATGGCAAAGAGGTTGGAGGGGGTGGCTGGCTATGGAGCTGGGCAGGACAGTGGTTCTCTCAGGGGGCAAGAGAAGGTGCTGGGCATGGCCCTGGCAAGGGGTGCACCCTGGTGAGCCCTGGCTTCCTGATCTGTCCAGTGGACCCAGCGCACCCACCCAATGGGTGCTCACTGCTCTCAGCTGAGACTGGCCCTGAGATCAGACTGGGCCCAAGGAGAGAACTTGAGAGTAGGCTGTGTCGGGTGTGGCCCAGTGGCCAGGCTGAGAGCCGGGGGACAGGGGGCTGAGTTGGACCACCAGGTGGTGGGGGCGGGGCTGGGCAGCCGAGAGATTCCAGGGGAGGCCGTCAGTAGGTGGGGCCCAGCGGGGTGCAGATGGATGCTGATCTGGGAGCTCCTGCATGCTGGGAGATCTCAGGCTGGGAGAGAGTGGGTGTGAGAAGGAGAAGGGGGCAGTCAGGGCCCAGCCAGAGGCTCCCACACTCTAGGCTGGGTTGAAGATTGCTGTCCCAAAGGAGGTGGTGACAGCCACACCAAAAGTGGCAGGAGGAAAACTGGGCAAGGGAGGAGGGACAGGTTGCTGGCAGATGACTTTGGTTTGGGAGTGGGGGGTTCCGGTGGAGGCTTGGGCAGCAGGGGGTAGGAGGGCCTCACTCCTGTGGTCACTGTGTTGTCAACACACTGACCCGGGGGTGGAGGGAGTGGCAGGGCAGTGAGGGACACTCCTACCAGATGCCCTCCCTCTCACCTCTCTGCCAGGCTGTGGCACAGACCATGGACTCCGTGTTTAAGGAGCTCTTGGGAAAGACTACCGTCCGCCAGGGCCTGGGGCCAGCATCCACCAACTCTCCCAGCCCCGGGCCCCGCAGCCCGAAGCTTCTAGGCTGTGGCCGCCTGGGCAAGAACAAAGGCTTCTCCCGCAGCCCTGGGGCGCCGGCCTCACCCTCATCCTCATCGTCCCAACCCCCGGGCCTGGACTCACCCCTCAAGCCACACTGAGGTGCCACTGGCTCCTCAGCAGACCCCCCCCTTACCTTAACGGGTTGCCAGCAAGACCCTCCTCCCTCCCCAGGCCCTTTGCTTCTCCCTGGCCCTGTCCAGCAAACACGGAGCACCTGCTCTTGACCCTTTGCGGAAAGAAGGACACAGCTGCCCAACCGAGCCCCTGCCTGCCCCAGCCCTGGCTTAGGCCCCTTTGGGAGGCAGCCAGCGGAGGCTGGGGGCAGCCCCTCCCCAGCTTGCCTGTGAGGGCTCATCAGTGGCTGTTGGGTGGTGGGTGCCCTTGCTCAGATGAGCACGCCTGCCAGTGCCCAGGCCCTTCTCTGCTTCAACCAAGGGCACGAGACTGGTGGGGGTTGGCAGGCCTGGCAGCCATTCATAAAGACTTGAGCATTGACTCCCCTACGTGAGCCAGGTCTCTTGTTTTGGGGGACTGGGCACGTGGGTACAGGGCCAACCCCCTGTCACCCTCACTGCTTGAGGCCAGATGCCAGGGCGCTCAGCAAAGGCGGCAGGGTGGGCGGCTGGACCAGCTTCTGTTGGGAGGCGGGGGGCTCGGCACAGGGCTGTGTGGGCCGGGGGCTTGGACATTTGAAGGCTGTCACCTGCATCGTGAGCTCCACAGTCAGACGTGTGTGTGTTGCGGGGGAGGGGGCTGGGGGGGTCTGAGGACGTCTTTCCATGCCACCTTCACACCCACTGTCAGCCGGACCCAAGGAGACTCACAGTGGGAAATGAGCTGACACTTTTATTAGGGGGAGAGTGAGAGAGGAACTAGGGAGGGGAAGAAAGGAAGGTCTCCTGGCCTCACCCCCTTTCCCTCCTCCTGGGCTCCATGGACCCCCATCTCCCACGCTGTTGCCCTCTCTGTACCCCGCGCCAAGGAGCTGACCTCCTGGGCCCCTCACAATCCAGAGCCAATTCCCAGCGCACCCTCCTCTCCCAGTGAACCCGGGGGGCCTCTGGAAGGAAGGCGCCCCCTGGCTTCTCAGGAGGAAGTGTCCTTGGCCAGGAAGGAGCTGGCAGTGGTGCAGGACTCCTCTTGGGGCCCCAGGCTGGGCGGGGCGCGCCTCCGAGCACAGCAGAGCAGGCTGCGCAGCTCTGAGGAGACGCTGCTGCTGAAGGAGGCATAGATCCAGGGGTTGGTACAGCTGTTGAGGCTGCCCAGCAGCATTAGCAGCACGAAGGGAGGCCCTGTGTGGGGGAGGAGAAGGATTGGGGGCTGCAGGTACCCAGGCAGGGGTGCGACCCCATGTGCCTACTAGGGGCTCGTGAGCCCAAGGCTGGATG